GTCAAAAACTGTGAAGGTCAGAATATGAACAGTATGAAAGGGTTAAAAAATCATGCTAAACTAAAGCTGCATTGGTAAATAATATTAGTTACCCCTACATGCATTTTCTGTTAGCATTATTTCCTGTTTACAGTCATTGTTACTGGAGTAAATTAATAAAGTAATTAATATCATCAAGGTGGTTAACCTGAATCCCAGCCTAGTAACCATGGTAATTTATGCTGCCGGGCAATCCTGGTCTGTAGCAGGATTAAGGTGAGGATTAGCTCCATCTATGATCAACAAATGTTCAACAGACAAGAACAGACACCTAAAAGACAGTTACACATATATAACACAGTATAACAAACTTCAAGATGACACCTTAGTCTGGATATTCTTAGCTCCGTTGATGGAATACACACCTGCTGCTCATCACCTGCACCTTACCTGTGTTACCTGTGTTTCCCTGCTCTAGTGCGCCACCCTGTGTACAAACAACAAAACTGCATCTATTCACATGAATCAAAACAAATACAAAGAATGTTATTGTGGCTCCAACAAATAGAGAAGTGCAATAAATGAATAAATAAGATAAGAGGTTTATACAACTAGTATAAGAATAGAAGTGAAAATATGATCTACAAGAGCAATTAAAGACAAAGTGAAGATGTAAAGTGACAGTGGTGAGGTTATTAGCAGCAAGTCAGCAAGTCTAGTATGTACCTGTATGTACACAATGGACATGACAATAATATATAATGTGATAACTGTTGTCTGTATCAGGTATTAAGATGGCTACATGATAGAAATATAATGTGGTATTTATCTTAATGCAGGAGAAACAGCAGTTTGAAAGGATCTGAGCTTCAGTCAGAGAGAGGGAAATACCTCATTGGCTGAGCTCTGAAACAGTCACATGACTCTTTGTTAAGTCACCAGCTCCTTTCATTTGTGGCTTCACACACTTCCCTCCTTCAGACACACTTCACATTGTGTAGCTTTCTACTTGACTCCAATCAAAGTATCAGTGAGAGGCTCAGTAAAGGAGTGTGACACCTGTTTGATACACAATGATCCATGTAGGAGTGAAGTCTGTTCCTTAAAGCTACTGAGGTATCTAACCCAGGAGTGAGCTGGCTGATGGGCTGGCTTTGGTTTGATGTTGTGCTGTGTGTTGTGTTCAGTCAAAGATCTGCAGGCTTTGCTTAGAAGATATTAATATTCTTCTTTATTTCTTCAAACATGTATAAAGGTGAATAAAGTCCACTTTCTTTCTTTGTTGAATCTTAAGTGCCACAGTGGTTACATAAATAGCAGAATATAACATACACAAGTAACAGATACATTAATGCAAAAAGTCAGTCAGACTACGTAACATTTTCCAGTATTTTGACCAAGATAGAAGGTTTGTTGTGTGTCGTTTATTCACTGGTTGGCTCTGCCATCATATGGGTTTAGCCTACAGTGTGAATTACCTTAGAGTTCTCAAATTACATTGCGTTAGATACCATTTATTTTCAACATGTTCATGTATTATTTTAGTTATACCTTTAATTATATATCTATCTATTTTTTAAATGTATGATAAATACATTGTCATTTTGATTTTGTTTTGAATCAGTGTTTGAATTATTCCCTCATATTGATTATCTCCACCTGCACATAATACTGACATGACTCTGTTTGCAAAACTTAAAGCATAGCAAGTTACAACAAACTCAGCATAATGATTAAAAAATTATTTGTGTTTAAACTGATTTCTGAATACACAGTGATGCAGGAAGCAGCAGCAGGCATGATAATATGAAGAGACCATCAGGAGCAGCTGCTGACGGGAGCCTCAACCATGTTTCCATCCCATTTCAGACGACAGCTCCTGGTTCATGTCCTCCTTTTTTTGATAGAAACACAGGACATTATTTAAAATGTGAAGAGAATGTACTAAGATTTAAGCTGCAGGTGGATGAAATGTAATAATATGTCAATTTCATTGAAACTATAACAAGTATAGTGAATGTGTGAATAATTTACTGATGGTGAAATTTTCTTTAAATAACACAGCATCAGAGAAGTTCAGTAAAAGTTGATTCTGTTCCCACTGAATGATTCCTCTCTTTTATCAACACAGACTTTTAGAGTAATCACTTATCACTTAAACAATTAAAGCTGCGAGCAGCGTTGGGCGGGACCTCGGACTCTCGCCGTTTCGGCCTCCAGCTCACGCAGACAGTGTGAATTATTCGTAAGAGTCGAAATGTCAAGAAAAACAAGCAATGTCAAGGGTACGCAAGGTCATTTTTGGCAATAGAGGGAGTTAATATTAATTACAATATGTATTTAACAGTCATAATCACAAAAGTAGCCACAGTATTATCAGTGATAAAGGCTGTAGTAGAATGTGATAGATGGAAAACACTGATATATAATGTGTAGATGCTGTTTCAAATTAAGATTCTGCAGCTGCAATGTCTCCTTTTAAGATTGTGAGACACACACACACACACACACACACAGAGGGCTGTGTGTGTCAGAGTGAAGGCGTTGTTATGACGATTAATGAGTTGCATGCAGCAGAGGGACAGACAAGTTGTGTGAGACCCAGCAGATTAACATGGCTTTAAAATGTCTCAAATTCTTCGCTTTAATTCCCAAACCGTGGGTCCAATCGTCAATCTGAGCACACCAGCAGAGAAATACACTCGTCCCCAACGCAGACATGTAGTTTTTATCTTTGTGGAGTCAAAAATGTGATCTTGGTCGCAAGTTTAAGATGTGTTGCCCCTCATCTTTTCTTTTGAAGATCGTCAGGAGGTTTTGTGTCACGGCACCTTTAGGAGCCCATAAAATCCAAACCATTCAAGTAATGACAAAGTTATTCATAAGTTTTATTCAGCAGGGGTTGAGCTGTAATGTGTGCGAGTTTGAAGCCGATGTGATAAAGGGTCTAGGAGGAGATAGTTTTTGAAAAAGCATTTTTGAGGCGAAATCTTACTTTGAAAGGGCAAATAGCTCACTTCCTGTTGGATTTAGGTCAGGGGTGTCAGTGTCAGTGTCAGTTTTGGTTTGATCTTTCTACAACATTCCTACGGGCCGCAGTGGCCATTTTAGTGTGTCTAGGTGGAGCTAGAGAGCCCATTTTGGCACTTTAGGGGTTCATTTTTTTCATTTTATCAAATTTTTCGCCAATCCTGACAAGTGTGCCAATTTTGGTGAGGTTTTGAGCATGTTTAGGGGGTCAAATTCAGCCTCAAAGAGGCGGCGGGAGAAAGAATAAAGAAAGAAAGAATAAACGCACCAAGGCCGAGGTCCCTAATAATCCTGATCCATCGTATGGGATCATTAAGAGGGTGCAGAGGCCCAAACATTTACTGTCATTTCATCTGTAACAAAAGGAAGATGATTTTACTGAAGCTTAGCAGAAATTATTTCAGGAATACTCCCTCAAATTCTCCTCCTGTCTCTTCCAACTTGATCAGCTGACTGTGGGCGTTCACTCTTTGAGTTAAAGATCTCAGTGAGCCAATCAGATTGTTGCTGCCAAACTTTTAAACCGTTCTCTCAGTTTGGTCTGTTGGTCATTTAAATATCAGATCCTTAAAACAATAAATCTTTGTTATGCCATGATTTTATTACTTTGAATACACTGCTCAAAGAAATCAAGGGAGTACTTAATGGTCATGGTATAACACCAAGTCAGTTAAACTTCAGGGATATCAATCTGTCCATTTAGGAATCACAAGTGATTGTGAATCAGTTTCAGGTGCTTTGGTGCAAATCAAAGTGACAACAGGTGCAATGGAGAGGCAAAAGCAAGACAACCCCCAAAAAGGGAATGGTTTTACATGTGGTGTCCACAGCCAGTTGCTCTCTCCTCATCCTTCCTGACTGATTTTCCTGTAGTTTGGTCTTCTGCTAGTGTCCTTGTCACTACTGGTAGCATGAGGTGGTACCTGCAGCCCAATCAGCTTGCATAGGTAGTCCAGCTCCTCCAGGATGGTCACATCCATACGTGTGGTCGCAGGAAGGTTTGCTGTGTCTCCCAGCACAGTCTCAAGAGCATGGAGGAGATACCAGGAGACCGGCTGTTACACAAGGAGAGCTGGACAGGGCCGTAGAAGGGCATCAACCCAGCAGCAGGACCGCTATCTGCTCCTTTCTGTGAGGAGGAACAGGAGGAGCACTGCCAGAGCCCTACAGAATGACCTCCAGGAGGCTACTGGTGTGCATGTTTCTGACCACACTGTCAGAAACAGACTCCATGAGGGTGGCATGAGGGCCTGACGTCTTCTAGTGGGACCCGTGCTCACAGCCCAGCACCATGCAGCTCCATCATTCACCAGAGAACACCAGAATTAGTATTCTCTTCACAGATGAGAGCAGGTTCACACAGACCACATGTGGCAGGTGTGAAAGAGTCTGGAGATGCTGTGGTGAACATTATGCTGCCTGTGACATCATACAGCATGACTGGTTTGGTGGTGGGTCAGTGATGGTCTGGGGAGGCATATCCTTGGAGGTCACACAGACCTCCATGTCATAGCCAACGGTACCCTGACTACTGTTAGGTACCAGGATGAAATCCTCAGAGCGACTGTCAGACCTTAGGCTGATGCAGAGGGCCCTGGGTTCCTCCTGGTGCAGTGTGTAGGCAGTTCCTGGATGACGAAGGCATTGATGCCATTGACTGGCCCTCTCGTCCCCCTGACACTAAATCCAATTGAGTACCTATGAGTCGTTATGTATCGGTGCATCTGACACCGCCAACAAGTACCACCACAGACTGTCCAGGAGCTCAATGATGCCCTGATCCAGGTCTGGGAGGAGATCTGTCAGGACACAATCTGCCGACTCATCAAGAGCATGTCCAGACGTTGTCTGGAGGTCATACAGGTACGCAGGGGCCGTACACACTACTGAGTCAAATTATGAGTTGGATCAGCCTGTGATATCAGTTTTTTTTTTTGCTGTTTGCAAAAAAAAAAGAAAAGAAATTTCATGCACTCCTGTTTTACTCAGTAATTCTGATTTGACATCATTTGAACATTTGGGTTTTATGGTAACCTCTAAAGACACAGTGATGATTTTAATCATCTAATAATCTAATTAAGACTAAACAATGTTTTTATCCAAGAGTTTGCTTATTAGTCACTAAATGGTTAAAGATCCATCCTGTCTCCTGTCTTGTGAGTTCGACACCCCAGGGTGAGTGTTATCCTAAATATTCCTCAAACACTTCCTCCTGTTTTTCAGGCTCTACTCACCTCTTGACATTTCTAAACTTTATTGTGCACCATGTCAATAAATGTATTTCTTTCTTAAAGAGGCAACAGATAGGATTCGTTTATTTTTAGCTTGGCGCCACCTAGCGTCAGTGGTGTTGCTCGCACTGTCGCAAAGACCAAATTGACCGTGGGGATCAGAGATAATCAATAAAATGTAGTCTGTAAAGCCACCAGTATACCTCTATGTATATGTAGAATGAGAAGGTGTGGGGACACTAAACTAAATAAATGAGTAAAGAGGCCGAGCAACAATTATCAGATTTATCTGAAGAAAAACAAATAGTAATGCAAATAATTATACCAGAATGCACAGTATCAGTACAAACAGCTCACAGTAAATATACCAATATGTACAGTATCAGTACAAACAACAGTAGACACGTAAGGGATAATGTATAGTGAGCCGGTGACTGTAGAAAAATAACTCCCGACAGGGGAACGGAACCCCGACGCACAGCGGAGTTATTTTTCAACTGTCACCGGCTCACTATACATTATCCTGCTTAGAACATGGCTTACTACTAAAACATTCAAATGTTACAACTGGCATCAATATTATTAAACTGCTGGCAGAGTGTATTGACAGAGGAGAGCCGTTCACCAGACAAACGAGAGCGGAGGAGAGGATTTTACTCCACTTCTCCCGGTGGGAGATGCTGGGTGCCCAGTAGCTGCGAAGGCTGCCCTCACATGCCATCACTGTCTGAGGGCTGCCGTAGAATGGCAACGAGGATGTCAGCTGACCAACACTCGCTACCTGGTCCCTGGTTGTGGCGATTTGCGATGCTGGCCAGCTAGGAATGAACTAGCAGCCAGTACAGTACAGTTGTCTCTCGGCTAGCTAACATTTAGCCGTGTTACTTACTGATCCATCAGAAAGAAAGCTAGCTGGACATCGGTTTTGAAGCCTCTCCCTCCATCTCTTGAACGCCTGACTGAACTCTAGTTTTTCCTCTTCTTTTATCACTCTCTTTTTTGCTCTTCTTTGCCTCCTCACACAGAGGAGCTCATTTTCTTTTGCTAGGCCGTTTTTCACTTGTTTCCAAACTTTGTCCGTCTGCCATTGTGCTCACGACTCAACTATCTCATGCCCAACTCCTCATAAGGACCAGCTCCAGTCCCTGATTGGCTGACTGACCAGTTTCGCAATACATGACGCGTTTCCTGCCGTAAAGCAGATTTTTTCCGTGAAATTTCGCCCCCGATGGCAGAAGCTTATTACAAAGATTGCAAAGCCACTAAGTAACCTATGTAAACGCTGGTAGTCTGATTTTACTGTGGCCACTACCCTGTGCAACCCACATTACTTACATAATGATATATTTAGGAAAATATGCTATCTGTTGCCTCTTTAAATGGAGTCTCTCCTGACTGAAATGACTTTAGTGTCTGTCAGTCCAGATACAAGTGACAGAAAAGATGAATGTGACTGTGCTGAAAAAGTTTTAGTCATGTCCACAGATTCATCTAAATATTTGAGACTGTGTGTGAAACAATGGAAATGAGGTTAACAGATTAGACTCACAGGTCGTCATGATCTCTCACAGGGTCGATGTCTGGACCAATAAGATCAGAATGATGCAAAAGGTGTTATGCATGACTTCATTATTATTAGATCATTACCAGACACAAAGATTATTATGAAGGTGCAAAGGCCCAAATATTTGCAGTCAGTTTGATCTTCCAGAACAAGAAGTTGATTTTACTGTCTTTAACGTCTGGAGTGTGGGTACACATGAAATGAAATTCATGTGAATATATACCCAGAGGAAGGGAAAACTCAAAATAAGATCTTTGTCCAACCTATTTCTCCCAGACGTAACTGAGCTCAGTTTAAGATCAATATGAGATTGTGACCATTTTTCATACTTCTTTAATTCAGCTCCTGAGAAATAACCTTCCTCTTGTCTCCCCAGAGGAAAATGTGCTGCTCACCACAATGTTTTCTTTGTCTTATCAGACATAACTCATCTTCTTATTTGGACATTACTACATTCTCATCTGTTTCTCATAACCCCTTATAGAATCAACAAGTAGTGTCAAAGTGCTCTGAGTGCTCAGACGACTAGAGAAGTGCTGTGCAAGTCCATCTGTTCTTTTGCTCCTTATTTCTCCTGGGAGGGATGTTTAGGAGAAACACATCAGAATGTAGGTTTATGTCTGATGAGACAAAGTAAAGACTGTGGTCAGCAGCCAATTATTTCCTCTGGGTATACATTAATAATATGCTTAGCTAAGAAAACAAGATCTTTAAACCTGAACTGCACTGAGGAACAGTAAACTTGTCTTCACAGGTCACGTAGCAACAGCAGCACGTTAGCTAACACATGCTACAATTATAAAGTAACATAATAATGACTGACATCATCAGACTTGTGTGTGTGCAAAATATCAGTGAATGCAGTTACATTTTAATGATGATAAAAGCTTAC